AGCCATCTCTGGGATGTAATGCAGCAGGTGTTTTAAGATCATACTGCAACTCTACACCACAGTTTAGGGCAATAAAAATAGAACTGTACAATGCAACTGAAATTGCTGGGGGAATTGAGTAGGCATACTGCAATTACCTGACTATAAATTTGGCTGGACAGGACACAGCGTAACTGTTTAACATGTGTGCATCTATGAATAAGTACAGTCTTCTATTTATGTACTGGTCAGATACAACCTGGCCAGCTGCACCCATCTTGCCTGTTCTGTCCCACTGATGTTCTTCTATCATGATCTTTAAATCGCAAAACACCTTGATTAAAGGTAAGAGCTAAGCTGAAATGTTGAGCATCATTCAACTGCTATAACCTCTTCAGGTTTCTTAGTGACTTTGAGATCAGCGAGCCTTTGGGTCACATACTCCTTCCCCCTTCCCCCACCCCAACACGATACATTAATACATTCCCAGTTCTAAAACAGTTTCTTCCCCCATAACTTTTCAAATCATCTGTGAGGATTTTATTTTTTAGGCTAAATGTGGTTAATTACAGTGCTAATAGGATTGAACTGCTATACCCTCTTCCTGACCCTGAAGTGAATTCCTGGATCAGGGATCCTCTAACACATTAAAAAGATTAATTGTAGTTAATGTTGGTAGTAATAGGAAACCTTATGACAGGGGGCCATGCAGACTGGAAGCATGAACTTCTTGTTATTGAAGAGGACAGCTGAATGACTACAGTTCTGTTCCTCTTCTCCATTGTCATACAGCCATATATATGTTATCGGTAGCTAAAACTGAACATCAGTGAGGTAACAGGGGAAATGCTCTGCAAGGGGGTACTGACAACTGTGCATGTATTGCCTTGGTATCCAGACTGATGTCCACTATGAAATAAAGATAAGGCCATCAATCCCATTACGCGTATGACTGCATATTGAACCAACCATTTATTATGCTGTTAAACCACCCAGTTAATCTGTGTGCCGACCATTCCCATCTCCTTCTTTATATTCTACTCTGCCATTAAAGCCCTAGTGACAGAGCTTTCTCCAAATACCACAAAAGATAGAGCTATCGTGAAAATAAATTTGTAATAGGAACAAAAGTCAAGCATTACTCCTTTGAACCTAACAATAATAGAAACTCAGAGAACACAGAAAGACAGAAGTGAATCACACACTGTGTCACAATGCCTACATCTACTTTCAATTATGTAGAAAAATATAATGCATTTGTGTATGTAGATGTGTATGTGTGAGGAGAGAGAGAGAGAGAGAGTATATGTATACACACACACTCTTACTTGTATATATTTCATTGGATCCTTTTGGATGTCACTTATTTTCTTAGACTGTTAGTTCCTTGGGAGGGCACAGACTATATTTTCTTATGTGTTAATATAATATCTAGCACAAATAGATTGTAATCCTGAAGTGCTCTGACTGCAACATAAACCAATAAATCATACCCACTGTAGGCCAAAGGGTGCCCTCAGTCACAACTTTGCAACTCCCTAGTGTCATCAATGAAGTAAAATGGTTCTAAGGGCAGAATTTTCCCCTTGTACCTGAGTGAAAGGAGTAAGATGCTCCACTTGGAGTGCAACAGTAGTAATAATAATCTAGAATTATAAACCGAGTCTTATAATTAGAACATAAGATGCCAGTGGCCTCTCACTGGAGTAGCTCAGCTCATACGCATGAAATGCTTGATTTTGCTGAGGAGAAAGCCTTATGGATCAGGTTGATGAATGTTTGTATTTCACTGCTATCACTTATATATACAGCCTTACAGCAAAAGGAATCTTTCAAAAACTTGGGAAGGTACTGCTTAGAGGTAGAATTGCCACTCAAAGAATGTTTTGCATACAGGAAAGATGGAGGCAAATTTTCAAAGTATTCTGAGACTGGCCTTTACTTTTGCACAACCAGAGCTGGGTAAAATTGGTAAATTTTAATCATGTACATTTTTGCATATTCTAAAACTTGGATTTGCATGTAAATAAGCTGCTCAGACATCTAATTACTCAATTTGCATGCACAAATGGTGCAAAGGTGAGTTTTGGGGTGCATAAGAAGTAAGCAACCCAAAATTGCATGACCAAAGATTTGAGCATGCAAATTCATCAGCTGAAATGAAGAAGGCTGTATCTAGTGTTATTTTTGTCCCACCAAAGTCCTGACTCATTAAAAAGCTCATGAAAAACAATGACGAAGACAAATACAGACACTAGATACTGCACACTATCTTATTAACAACTAGAGCAGAGAATTCAAGAGATCAAAATTTCTGGCGCACTGTGTTTCCATTGACTGTAGCCAAGGAAAAGTGGACTTTGGACTTGGCTTTGCAGGTACTGGAAGTGAAGAAGGTATCGATATAAAATGTTTGGTTTTAAAATAAACAGGTATTTGTAATTTTTAAGTCTATACATAGATTCTCTTACCAATTTGGGATGAATTCAACTTATTAATATTTTAACAAAAGCTTTGAAGATCATTATTGAGGACAAAAATTTTGCTTATGAAAATTCAGAAAATAAAAATCTGCCATAACACTGACAAAACAAAACTGTAGGTGTGGGGAGGGAAGAAAACTTAAACTGTATAATTTTAGTGTCTGGCCACATTTGGGGGCTGGGGGACATTGTACAATATTCTGCAAATTTTAAGTGTTCATTAAGAAAAAAGAGTTTGGGGCCAGATCCTCAGCTGGTGTAAACTGGAGCAGTTCCAATGGAACCACATCAATTTACATCAGCTGAGAATCTGCCTCTTTCTAGCTATCTTTTTTGGCTGCAAAAATTTATGCTGTAAACAGCTGCTGCTGCCCTGTAAACTCATTTGTCAGACAAATGTCTCTGGATAAACAACAAAATCAGCAAAGGTGGGACATTACTCCCTTCAAAACGTTACTGGGCCCATATCACTGCTAAAATTATTAAGCACACAGGCAGTTTCTCTCTCATCTTCTTAAAAAAAAAGAAAAGAAAAGAAAACCAAGGTTATGGCATGCAAACAACTATATTAAGGTGTAGCGGGGTGGTCACCCGCTCCGGGCCTGAAATGGTTACAGCCAGCCCTGGGAGAGGGCAGGGGTGTGAGCCAAAGGCTAGGCTGATGGGGAAGGCAGCCTCAGCTGGGGCCATGCCCCAGTCAGGCCACAGCTGGCCCTATAAAAGACTGTGAGCCAGGAGCTCAGGCAGTCTCTCTCTAGCTGTGGAGTGAGACGGGCCTGGCTGCTTGGGAGCTGAGTAAGGAACCTAGAGTGGAGCAGGGCTAGGGGAAGGCTAAAGGAGCTGGGGGAGCTCCAGCCTGGAAACCCCGCAGGCTGCAGGCCTTGTTAAAGGCTGGGAATGGTACTGGGGTTGCAGAGGTGCAGCCCAGGGTAGGCAGAGGCATTAGGTCCAACCCCCTCTTTGCCAATGATGAATGGCTTGTACACTGCAGTCTGCCCCAGTGAGTGGGGGCTAGATGGTGACTGGCAGTAGCCATAGACTGAGGTGAGGTGGGGATAGAGGGTTGGGGGTTCCCCTGGGTGGGGAGACCCAGAGAGAGGGTGTACTGCCAGGGGGCAGCACCCAAGATAAAGGGGCACTGGGGTCCGTGAGGGAAACGGGGTCCTGAGGCAAGTGGGACACTGGCCTGCAGAGGGCACTCCGGAGGCCGGAGAGCTAATTCCCAGGACGACTAGCGGGAGGGGCTGTGCTGGTGCATCCCACCTTGCTACATAAGGTTTCACAGTTAAAACCACACACACACACACACACACACACACACAAAAGAATCAGGAACTTCTGATTCTGGCCCAGTAGCAACTTTCACTCATCCACACTGGATATATTTGGTGTGATAGAATGGGATATGTCTGTGTCACATTCTGAACATTTTATATTGTAATCTCATTTTGTGTCAGGACCTACATCCATTTTGTTATGTGCTGAACACATGTCTAATCTCACCCAAGGCAAGGTTATTGAAATGCATTCCAGATAGCTGCCCTGTCCAGGAAAAGTATTTGACACTGCTGAAGGATCATCACTGAGAAGCAGTCACAGAGCGATCGGGAGCCATCCACTTTGATTGTCTCTCAACTACTGGTCCAAACTCATGGAACAATGGATTTTCTACATAGGGGCACCAGCACAGCCGGTAGGTCTGCAGTTCCTCAGCCAGGGCACATGGCAAAAGGAAAGAGTCTATATTTACGAAGAGCTGCTGCTTTGAAGTACAGGGGTGCACCACTGCTACATGTAAGCCAGATGTGAAGGAGAGAGAGAAAGCAGGAGGGAATATGCCCAGCATGAATGCTGACAAACTTTGATTCACAAATGGGGTAACATGAGACTGGGTGGAGGGTACGCCTCAAGCCTGTTTCTTGTTTTCAAAGATCTATAATTCACTAATGTTTTCTAGAGTAAAATGACTGTGGTTAAGAAATTCCTAGGCTAAGCCTGTGCTCCTTGCTTGCCTGAGGTCTCAGCCTGATAGTGTACCATAGGGATTCAGAGCTAGAAACAGTGAGTGGACGCTACCTAGTCCCAGTGGGTTTAGAAGCATGTAGGACCCAGTGGTTGGGTTCAGTCGCAACAGTCTGGCATCCATGTCATGTGTTTCAGGCCAGGTGGTGACATTTAACATTTTGTTTTTATTTTTCTTGTTAAATAAGTAACTGAATATAACTAAAACCCAGGAAATGCATACAGGACTGGGGCCGACAAAACTACCACCTGCATTAGAGGCTACAGTGGGAGGATACATTCACAGTGGATTAATAAAGAGAACATGGTTCATTTAAATGTTACTCTTGGGATCTTAATTTTTGCACTCCCTGACTTTTTTATTTTAATGGTGCAATATTCATGTTGCATTAATGTAGCTTTGTGCATGTAATTTACATTTTTAATATCTGCCTCATGTGTCCAGGTCCATATTTCAAGGCAGGCACTCTGCTCACACTACTTATGTTATGCAAAGAAGTCAATGAATCTACTCACATGTTTTCCAGAGAACTCATCTATCTCCTGCAGCAGTTTCTCCTGGCACTCTGGGTTGGTGGCTAATAAGTAGGTGGCGAAGGAGAGGGCATTGGTGGTGGTCTCATACCCACCAATGAGGAAGATGAAGGCTTGGCCTACAATCTCATCCTCAGACAATGTCTTCTGAACCTTTTTAGGCAGGGCCTTGTCAGCAGGAGGCTTATGGTCCTGAATGGAAACATCAGCTTGGTTGACTATGTCAAAGTGCTCCACACCAATGCAGTTAGTAGAGCTGCGAGCATCGAGTATCAACTGGAGGAAGTCTCTGCGCCTCTGTGAAATGCAAGATAAAAACATACGCTCAGAATGAATCAAAATAATAAACTATGCACATGTGTTCAAAATGATTGTGCGTGACCACATCAGACACATTACAAGGACCTAATTTCCAGAGGGTGGGTATTTAGCACTTTCTGGTCGTACCTATAATGGTATGTCCCAGCCGACGCACACCGGCACAGCTGTATTGCCAGTGCGTGTGCATGTGGGGGGTAGGGACGGGGGGATGGAGGCATACTCTCTGCCCATTCCCCACCTACCTACTCTGAGAAGGGAGTAAACAGGCATGTTGTTCCACTTATTCACATATGCCCAAACCTAAGGTCCAGATAGCCACGCTAGGCATGTACAGGGGAGTTAGCTTATGCAGCCACTCAAGAGCACACGAAGCCACAATCTAGGTCTCAGGGCAGATCTATCCACAGTTTTTGTATCAATTTAACTACGCTGGTTGTGCAGCCCTCTAGGGTGGACTCCATTTTATTGGTATAAAAGTGCTTATATTAGTATAACTTTGGTAATAAGTTGCACCACTATAAGCATCTCTCTACGATATAGTTACATCAGAACAAAACATGTATGTATGTCTTGTTCATGCAAAATGCTTGTTGAACCATCCTCCTTTTACTAAAGCTACTTGCTTATGTCAGTTTGAGCCAGAAAAATGCCACAGGAACAGAACTATGCACAAGAGCAGGTTGACTCCAAGCCAGTTTGGACAGTTTGGATTGACTTTTGAGAGCAGGATATAATACTGCTGTGCTGAATCTAAGCCATGAGGCCAGGAGATTCATTTGTCAATTCCTCAAATACCAACATAATGTATCATAGCACAGAAAGAACCCAGGGGTGACTGCAGTGCCAGGATCTGACATGCTGCAGCTTGAAAAGGAAAAGCAGGGATCAAGTGTTTCTTCAAAAGGATTAAATCGGCATTTATTTATTAATTAAAGAATAAACAAAAATATTTTGAATTATTTTCTTGCATCAGATGATACAGATAAAGAAGAAGCCAGAGAAAGGACAGGCTAGTGAGATAAGGGTAAGGAAGGAGCAATTAATTATATATATCAACAGACTTAATCAGATAATATTTTTACATGACATGAGAACAAGAAGCAGCGAGAGCCAAGAGGAGAAATATTTTATATCCTGTGCTCTAGCTCTGCTGCCAGCAAACTGCAGAGAGAAACTGAAATTCAGAGCGTTTGGGTAAGGCAAGGGGGTAGCACGGAACCGCTCTAAGTTCTCCTGTGAATCTCAGTCCATCAAATGAAAGCTTGTAATTACACATGTGAATTTGGTGCCCCTGAAAGCAAGAGGCTGGATTATAAAGGCCAGTGCCAGTTATGGTATACACAAGAGCTGTGCGTACTGGCCGAGGTGATCTGCATTACACCCAGTGCCCTGCATGCATGGATTTCCCAGGGTGATGAAGCATGCAAAGCCATATTACTGTATATTGCACTCAGAAATGTGTCCCATCATTTACAACACCATCCTATGCCTAAATTTAGAAATGTGTTCTGCAGTCAAAATGAATGTACTGCTAGCAAAAAGCCTCTCATGTCTAACACATGAAGAAATAAAAGAGCTGTGACTGTATTGTAACTGTTACTGGGTAATATACCTTCTTTCCCAGCCGTCCCTGTGAACCAAAGAATCAATATTTCTGCATACTTTAACTCTTTATGGCTAAAGACTGCATTTAACTGCCCTAGGAAGACTTCATTCACGTGAAAAGAAAAGGAGTATTTGTGGCACCTTAGAGACTAACCAATTTATTTGAGCATAAGCTTTCGCGAGCTACAGCTCACTTCGCGGCTGCTACTCTGAAACCGTTCATTCACGTGCTCATTCAACATTTGTTCTGGTAGTCAATGCATTGTGCAATAAACAGTCCAGCTCTTGGTCCTGGTCTACACTTGAAATTTTTTCCTGTATACCTATTTCAATTAGGTGTGTGATACTGGTAAATGCCCTACCGTGTATGCAGTTGTACCTGTATAAAGGTGATTTACACCAGTATAGTTAATTCCCTTTCTTGCACAGGAATAGCTAGTTATATGGTATAAATCACCTTTATACCAATATAACTATGTCAACATTAGAGGGGTTGTACTGCTGTGACTCTACCAGTAAATTTAAAGTGGTACAATTTTTCTAGTGTAGACAAGCCCTTAGTTTGAACCAGAGATAGGCAAATATGGTCAAAGATATATTTGTGTGTAGTTTTGCAAAGCAACCCACTGGCTCCTGTTGCCTAGGAATTGTACTTACTTGTGAAGTCTGGACCTCAAATTTAGATTGTAAGTTCTTTGGGGCAGAAATTGTCCCTTACAATATGCTTGCCCACCATTTAACCATATGAGGCCCTGATCTTGTTTGAGGCCTCTTGGCACTGCCAGAATAGTTGAAGTAATAATAATCATAATAAATAATAGAACAGGGTGAGCAAAGTTTAGTTCACAAGAACATTCGTGCAAAACAAAATGAATTCTAGCACAAGTTAAATATTCACTAGTGTATTGTACTAAAACACTGCCATCACAATTTTGACCTTTTTGCATATAATATGGAAAAGAGACACATCTTCCTGTTTATGAACTGTAGGTCATCCAATCAGAGAGGAGAAGCAAATAACTTCTAACTTATTTATACCATGTGATTGGCCCCGTAACGCACAGGGACTATTAAAAGCCACCGGTTAGTGAACAATCCATAAAAAACTTAAGTTTATTTGCACACACTATTTGAATAAATGTGAAGAATGAATAACACTGAAAAATCACAACTTGTTCATTGATAATTCACAAAGAGAATAAAGCGGTACATTTTAACAAATCCTCCACAGTACACAGTTCATCCAGCTCTACTTTACACATCAATACAGAATGCAACATTAACAATCATCAGCCCAGCAAGAGAAAAGAGATTTCAATTTGGCAGGCTGGTTATTACCTATCACAGTGAGACATGCTTTTTTTTCTGGGATCACAAAGGTAGTAAAATCATCCTTCCCCAAAAAGCACAGTATGGTGACTGGGAAAAAACATTGGCATAGAAACAAAAAAAGTTGGATTATTTGTCAGTTGCTGGAGGTGAAAAGAGGGAGTCTCTCAGGTACATTCACAGGAAAGAAAATGCACATTTTTCAGTTTGACAACAGATCTGATATTGGTAGCATCACCACATGAAAACATTCTCTGGGCATCATATTTAGCTGCTGGCTTACTCTTCCCAATGGGAAGTTTCTTTGATTTTCCTGACAGGCAGCAGAAGCCAACAGAACCTTCTATATTATATTCAATCTTTCTTAGTTACGTTATTCCTGAGTAAGAGGGAGCTGCAATTGCCAGCAGCAAATCAAAGTCACGTCAATGAGATGGACTTCCATTTTTTATTTTTTTCCACACAAGGAAGCATCTATCATTAAACCAATGAAAGCTTCAGATTTAGTTACTGCTTCAAAGACTATAATTTGGATGTGGTTTGCAGGAGAGTAAATGTTCAACTTTGTGGATGACATAGTTACCCCCTTTGAAATATATGCTAGGACAAGTCCTGCTTTCAGTCTCTCAGAGAAAGATACTTTATTATATGCTTCCTGACACCACTGATCTGGGCCATATCATCCCTCTCATTAGTCTCCTTAAACATCACCTGGCCATGCAGAAAAATCACTCTGCATGGAACTAACCAGTTTTGTGCTACAGATGTGTAGCAGAAGAACAGATGGGTCCTGTTCTGGGGAAGGCACATCCAGCAGTATTTATCATTCTTTCTTCAGTACTCACTTTTAAGCTTCACAGCTGTCAAAAGAACATAGAAGTCTGTCCCTTGTGCATGCAATGCATCATAATTCTTCTCCTCACAAGAATCAAGGGTCTTGGGCAGGGTCTCAAGCTCACTCAGCCTTGAACTGGGAAACTGCACTTTTGCATAACTTTTAAGTTAAGCCTATAGAACGACCTTTTAACTACTGAACCCTGGCTTTTGGGACCCAAATGGACCTCTTGGGTTACAGTTTTAGAAGGTGAAAGGGAAAGCTCACAGACAGCGCTATCAGAAACATTTCCCGTGGAATCTTCATTCAGAAGGATGCTTTCAACTGCAAGGATTTCTACAATTTTTTCTCACACCTGTAATTCAATTTGGGTTTCAGGTTTGAATGAACTAAATAATACCAAAGCAAATTACACATGAAACCGGCAGCCAGACTGGAAAATATAATTGGTGAAACTCTCCCAAGCTCCTCTCATCAAAGCTCTTGCCAACCCAAGCGCCACACACTCATGATGCCAAAATGAAATGCCACTAACAATAGACTGCACCAGACCTTCACAGTATGATCATACCTCCTCTTTCCTGCATGCTTTGATTGGCAGTGAAATAACAAAATAGGTTGACAGTAAAATCTCATTAGGATTCAAAATTAACCCACTCATAAAATGAAGCAGTTTACACCTCTTTCAGGGATTGTTTCAGGCTTTCTGCAGACTCAGACACACATAACTATATTAGTCTGCATCCAGTTCACATTTTGAAAGCTAAATTTGGAACCTTGAGGGCCAGCATCTTGGGGCCAGACCTTTGTCTGGAATAGCTTCACTGGTATCAGTAAAGAAGCGGAGAATAAAACTCTTGATTTTTTTTTAATTGAAAGCTTTACTATGGAGCACAAAATGAAGCCCTCAAGGAAGAGTATCTGTCAAATTAAAACAGGATGGTCAAATCCAACTTCTGATTAAAAACACTAAGTTTCACATCAAAAACATGCAAACTCCAGCCCTCTGGGGAAAAAAATCCATCACCCCAATAAATCAGAGATTCTCTTCTTTCTATATGTTTTAAACCAGAGATTGGAATTAATTGGGATGCTTGAGTTGACAGGTCCTAGATTTGCCCATCTGGGGGTTGAGGGCAGGGCACTCTCAGCGGAGGGCTCCCAACTCTGGAATTTAGTCCCCCTCTCAGTCCAAAAGAACCAGAGT